GCGAAGAGCCCTGGCTCGCTCGCCTTGAGCAGACGGTAGGACAGCCAGGCGTTCTGGCCCGAGTCTCTGTCCACCGCCACCACCTTGGTGACCAGGTAGCCGGGCTCTGCGGAGCGGGGCGCCAGCTCCACGCCGGTGGAACCGTCGGTGGGGAGGGCGGGGTACAGAATTTCCGGAGCGTTGTCGTTCTCGTCCAGCACAAACAGGCTCAGCGACACATTGCTGCTGAGCGGTGGGTCCCCGTTGTCACACGCCATCACTCTCAGTTGAAGGTCCCGGAACTGCTCATAGTCGAAGGATCGCAAGGCATATAAAACGCCAGTGTCTGAGTTGATGGAAACATACGAGGACAGAGGTGCCCCCTGGATGGTGTCCTCCACCAAGGAGTAAGTGACTAGTGCATTCTCATTGCTGTCGGCATCATGGGCTGTTGCAGAGAAGAGGGAGGCACCTCGGGGATTGTTTTCCAGAATGAAGGTAGAGTAGGAGTCCTGGGGAAAAACAGGGGGATTGTCGTTGATATCTGTCACTTGCAGTGAAATGTGGGTTTCAGTAGATAGAGCTGGAGTTCCCTGATCTGTTGCTGTTACTGTGATGTTGTACCTGGAGGTAAGTTCTCTGTCCAGAGTTCTTTCTGTCACTAAATGGTAATAATTATCATCCAACTTTTCTAATTTAAAGGGTAGATTTCCAGGAATGGAACATGTAGTGTTACCATTGTCTCCAGAGTCCTGGTCATGCACACTGATAAGAGCAATTATAGCTCCAGGAGGAAAGTTTTCTGGGACTGAAGTGGTGACAGAGGTCATGGTCACCTCTGGGGCATTATCATTTATGTCCAGAACTTTGACCAGCACCTTAGCTCTGGCCATGAGGCCTGCGCCATCCTGAGCCTGAATTTCCATTGAATAAATTTTATATTCTTCAAAATCCAGGGCTTCTTTATTTGATATTTCTCCTGTGTAAGAATTCAACTGAAATATCTGGGCTATTTTGTGGTCTATATTGTGAAATGAGTATGTTACTTCCCCATTGGCTCCTTCATCTGGGTCAGTAGCTTTAACCATAAGCAGCTGAGTGCCCAGTGGCACATTCTCTGGGACACTCATGTGGTACTGTGCTTGAGTAAATGCTGGAGGGTTGTCATTTGCATCTATTACCTGAACATGAATGCGGAGGGTTCCTGAACGGACTGGGTTGCCCCCATCAGAGGCTGTGAGGAGGAGGTGGTGCACAACTTCTTCTTCCCTATCCAGGGGACTCTGCAGCACCATCTCTGGTTGTTGGGATCCATCAGGTCCCTTTTGCACATCCAGGGAGAAATGAGGATTGGAGCTGAGCTGGTAGCTATGTAGTGAATTCATACCCACATCAAGGTCTTGCCCAAAAGGTAGAGGGATCCTGGTACCTGGAGTAGTTATTTCATTCATTTTAAATTCCACTTCATCTAACTGAAATTGGGGAGCGTTGTCATTAATATCAATTATTTCCACTTCAACAGGGAAAAGCTTCATTTTATCCTCTACCAAGATGTTAAAACTCACCAGACACTGCACACTCTGAGCACAGAGCTCCTCCCGGTCTATCCTGCCCGCTGTGACCAAGCTGCCACTTCGAGGGTTCAGAGCAAAAAGCTGTGTCCTACCTCTAGAGATGATGCGAACTCTGCGCTCTGTGAGCTCCTGAGGTTGTAGCCCCAGGTCTTCAGCGATGTTGCCCACGAAGAAAGCTTTGTCTGTCTCTTCTGGCACCATGTATCGGATCTTCCCAGCCCAAGCTTCCGACGACAGCCCCAGAAAAAGGCACAGCAGGAACAGCTCGCTGCTGCTGGGCTGCTTCCCCCGAATCACCATTGCTCTCTCGCTTTGTAGTTTACTCCCAGTCCGGTACCAGGAGTATTGTTTCTCTGTTCTTCTAAGCCTAAATTAACCGAATTTTCGGGAGATTTCAGAGCGGAAAGTGGTCCAGAAGTAGGGTCTGGGAAGCTTCAGGGAGACTGTTTTCAATCTGGCGGTGATGGAGGTTCTAAGAAGCTATTTTTTTTCTTTTTTCTTTTGGGGTGTGTGTGCGCACGCGCTGCCTGTAATCTCCCAGATTGGTGAACAGCGGCGCCCAGAGTCCTCACCAGTTACTACACTCCTAGATAATATTGAAACTTACCCTTCTTGTTAACCTCATCTATCTTTCCTTAATTTAAGTCTTAGTTTATTGCCAAGGAAGTAGTTATTGCATATATCTACAATATATGCATGAAAACGAGAAACTACTATGTTTATTTAATTAATCATACCTAACTGTTACTAAATTGCAATATACAGTAGAATCTCAGTATACCTAAGCTATCTGCTTTCTCTGTTTGCTATTCAGGTAATATCATCACAGGGGACAAAAATCATACCTCTGCTTCTCTAGTGTATCTTGACCACTTGACAGTTTCTCAGGACACATAGAAGAGCAACTGCCCTTTGACTGGAGAATGAAAAAACTAGGGGATAAACTTTTAGAATGTAAGCTAGACTTTTAAAAATTGGATTGTCCATTTTCTTTCCATTGTGCTTTAAATACTTACCAGAAACCTTTGAATTTTGAAGGACATGTTTTACCCATATTCTTATTTTTCTCTTTTCTGAAGTGTCTATGTATTATGTGGGTTTCAAAAGACCTTTAATTCACTCAAAGGTAATATATTTTGAATAGAATAACACTGCGCTCTTGGAATTTCATTGGAAAATGTCACATGAGTATCTAATTTAGACTTCAAATTTAAGAGACACAAGAGGTAGTGATATTCTCCTTCAAAACTGAAAAGGAAATGGCCACATCTCTATTTTTAGACAGGCCATTAAAATAATATGCATTCTCCTAAAATCACACTTAATATTTTCCCCAAGAGAAATTGGTTTTATTAATAGCAAGATTTTTAAACTAGATTGCCTTCCTTCTTTTATTCATTGAAAAATTAGTAAAAGTTTACTAACTAAAATGTCTTGAGGCTTTGAGTGATTTATCTTTACCCAAAAGTTAGCGAAGAATGTTCTCTGCATTCCAGAGGTTAACATTTCAGGAACAAATTGGGCCAGATACTGGCAGTCAACCTATGGACATGACTGAGAAGGGTCCAGAAAATAAGGAAACAAAGGTCACAATAACAGTTCTTGGAAAGAGAATATCCATTCCTGTGTAACCAAATCTATAGGTTTCTCAGCTTCTCAAAACAAGTATATGGAGTCCAAAGGCAGAAACTTAAAGATTCAGTGAATCTCTTTAAGTATTGCAAGGAAAGGACTTTTTAGCAGAAAATATAAGTTTTTAGAATGTACACCATAGGTACAAACTTTTCACCAACAGGGCTGTCTGGGCAAATGAAAGAAATTTAAAAAACACACAGAAACTAGAAAGTGAATTTGTAGAGCTTCTCCTCCTCCAACAACAGCAAAAACCAAGCAGAGTTGATTTATAACAGGATATTTACAAAATAAAAGTGTTAAAACTCACAGGTAAATATTTGAATCCAGTGTAATATTGAAGGTTGCAGTGCAGGCACCACAGAGAATATCCAGTTAAAAGATGTTTCTTGAGTTAAAGAAATTAAGATTTTGCAATAGCTGAAGCCACAAAAAGATTGTAGCAATAGGGCCAATCTCACTTGCTGAAGTAGAAGCAACTCCAAATCTAGGCCTGGACCAAAGATCGGACTGAAAGTAGGGCTGGAGGAGCCTCACAGGACCAGGGTGATGGCCAGAGGCACTGTGAGGAGAAGAGCACAGATACAAAGGACAGGGGCCCAACCAGGTAAAACTGTAGCTCTGTCTGCCTGGTAGCAGGTACCAGGCCGTTGCTGAGTTCTGGCAGCAACTCCTCTAAACTGTAGGCAAAGATGAGCGATAGCATGATGACTGTTGGTATTGTGTGCAGTGACCAGCAAGCCCTGTAGAGCAGCGTCTCTGCTGCCCACAGGGCCACAGTGCTAATCTCATTCTTGTGCCTCCCTAGGCTGAAGAATCAAATTAGCTGGTCTGAAGCATGTAAGAGGATAGCCAGGCAAAGCTCTTTAGTTGACATCCACCTTGGTGACCAGGTAGCCAGTTGCACTGGGCATGATGCCACATCAAAGAGGGCATGACTTCTGGCTGCAGCTCCCGGCACAGTGCTGCCTGTGCACTTCGTTGTGGTGGTCCACCATCACAAGGAGCCTGCAGTGAACATCATCGTGCTCTGCACTTATTGACGCTGGCTGACGACGCACACAGCACTGGGTTGCTGGTCAGGAAGAAATAGGCACAGAGGGCCCCACGTCTGGGTAAGAAGCACTAAAGTGTGCGATGGAGGCTTTGAGCAGGTGTTCTCATTCTCTTGGGCCATATAAGAGGCCTGCTCAAGAGCATTTTTGTTGATGGGGGTGATATGCAGGGTGATGCTTGTGCTGGAGGAGAGGGAGAGCCTGTCCTTGGTGGCTCTGGTGGTGACCCTGTACTTCATGTACTGCTCCCAGTTTAGAATTCCTTCTGCCTGTAGCTTAGAAAGAATTACATAGTAATTCTTTTTTTTTTTTAAGGATTTTTATTTATTTATTTATTTATTTGACAGAGAGAGACACAGCGAGAGCAGGAACACAAGCAGGGGGAGTGGGAGAGGGAGAAGCAGGCTTCCCGCGGAGCAGGGAGCCTGATGCAGGGCTTGATCCCAGGACCCTGGGATCATGACCTGAGCCAAAGGCTTAACGACTGAGCCACCCAGGTGCCCCCACAGTAATTCTTATAGGTGAATTGTTTGTATGTTTATTACTTCCTATAATATCTTTTATCTCTCCATTGTTTTGGCTTGGGCAGCCAGAGTTCTTGCCTTGACTGGAGAGCCAGCTGAAAGTTGTCTGCCCAGCACTGTAGTTCTCAACCTCCATTTCAATCAGAATTCTAAATGCGCCCTTAAACTGCCTCCAATCTTCTCTTCTACTGAATGATACAACTGTCATGCTCCAAAATCAAAGATGGTACTATTATTACTGGATGGTAGATATTTGCTGTATGCCCTGTGAGACTATGTAGTAAGTATAGGGGAACTCTACCTTAAGGGTGTCATCTAGGTCAGTGGGGAACCACCTGAAGAATGCAGAGGATGTGGTAGAGGGCAGGTAGGCTCCGCTGTACTCCTTGTGGCTCAGTATGGGAGGACTGGCATTAGCATCCATCTCCTATATCTTGCCATGTGCTGTTCCTACTGCTCCCCACCACTAAGTGGTGGCAGCTCTATTCCTTTGGTCCATTCCTGCCCTAGTCATCTCTTCTACTTGTGGGGACTAGGGAGATGGCTATTAAAATTAATGTGATAAATTCATAGAGAATTACGTGCAGAATCCAAACATACTGGGGTTTAAAGAGTGAACTATGCTACTCTTAAGATGTTTCTCACAATTTTCAAAACAAAATATCTGTATGAAAAGCCATAAATTATTTATATGCAGGGAGAATACATTTATATGAAAAGCATTAATGGCATTTCCAGGGAGGGTTTCAGATTCAAGAGCCTAAAGACTTCCTTTAGGATATCTGCTAGATCTAGCCTGTCATTCTCGAGTTCTTCCCTGCTGTCCTCGCTGGCGGTAAAGAGAGGCTTCCCAGCACTCACCCAAGTTCCAATCACCGAGATGCACATCTCTGCCCAGATTCTCCACTTTTAAACCACTGGCTTTTCTTCTGGAATCTCACAGCGCATCTGATGTGTAGTTCACTAGGCTGAACAAAGACATCTGTAAGGGAAACCGCTTCCTGCCCGCAATGCGCCTTCCCTGCAGAGGTCTTCTTACTCTTCTCGATGCTGCTTCTCAGATCTTAATACACCTTGCAATGGTGGCTCCCAGATGACAAAGGTGCGCTGGAGAGAAAAGGCAGCACTTCACTCTGGGTCATTAAACATCCTGGCGTTCCTGATCCAGATATTTGGAAAAGATCGTCGGAGAGAAGGTGTTTGGAATTCACTCCAGATGCATTTCACAAGTCGGCGGGGAGCACTGGGTCAGAATGCCAACGGGTTGCTTTGTTTCACTTTAGCCACGGATTGGGAGACAGCGGCACCCAGAGGCCTGGTGCTATATCTACCGCATGTTATTTCTCAGTCAGGAGACTCTATTTGCTTTATTTCCAGGAGTTATTTTAGACAAAGACTGCAAGTCATTATTTATTTTTGACAAAATATTAAAAAATGGACTTTTCACAAAATTTAAACCAAGCACTTTTATTAAAATTCATCAACTTAAATAATTCATACAGAATTTTCCCTCTTGGTATTTCCTTTTGAGGACGATACACTACTGAAGTTTCTTTTCCTTAAAAAGATTTTTCCTCAAGAAATTATCTATTGTAAAAAGAATTTTTCATTACAAAAAAATTCTCACTGTAAATTCTATAATAAAAAAATTTTACTATACAAAAATAGAAAATACTGATAAAAATTTAAAATCACCAGTCATAAATCGGAGGGGGGAGATGAACCCATGAGAGACGATGGACTCTGAGAAACAAACTGAGGGTTCTAGAGGGGAGGGGTGTGGGGGGATGGGTTAGTGATGGGTATTAAAGAGGGCACGTTCTGGGCGCCTGGGTGGCTCAGGCGGTTAAGTGTCTGCCTTCGGCTCAGGTCATGATCCTAGGGTCTTGGGATCAAGCCCCACATCGGGCTCCTTGCTCAGCGGGAAGCCTGCTTCTCCCTCTCCCTCTACTGCTCCCCCTGCTTGTGCTCTCTCGCTCTCTCTATCAAATAAATAAATAAAATCTTTAAAAAAAAAGAGGGCATGTTCTGCATGGAGCACTGGGTGTTATACGCAAATAATGAATCATGGAACACTACACCAAAAACTAATGATGTAATGTATGGTGATTAACATAACATAATAAAAAAAAGCAGGTAAAAAAAATAAATCACCAGTAATTATATAATTATTATATCATATCATATTATATCATATCATATTTGATAGCATATCATTATTATATCATATTGAATAATTATATAATTATTATATCATAATCATATATAATTATTATATCAAACTACTCATACTTTGTTAAGTACATAATACTTTTTTCTTTTTTGTGGTAATATACACATAACATAAAATTTAACATTTTAACTACTTTTTAAACAATTTTAAGGGCACAGTTCAGTGGTATTAAAATACATTCATAATGTTGTGCAACCATTACTACCATCCATCTCCAGAACCCTTGTGGAGGTTCCATCTTGTAAGACTGAAACCCATACCCATTACCTAATAACTCTTCATTCTCCACTCTCTCCAGCCCCTGGCAAACACCATCTATTTTCTATGATTTGGGCTACTCTAAATACCTCATACAAGTAGAATCAAACAGTATTTATCATTTTATGTCTGGTGTATTTCCATAGCATAATATCCTTAAAGTTCATCTGTGTTGTAGCATATATTAAAATTTCCTTCCTTTTTAAGGCTGAACAATATTCCATCGTATGTACAGACCACATTTTGCTTATCCATTCATCTACTGATGGACACTTGGGTTACTTCTAAATTTTAGCTACTATGAATAATATTGCTATGAGGATGGGTGTACAGATGTTTCTTTCAGACTCTGCTTTCAATTCTTTTGGGTATATACCGAGAAGTGGAATTGCTGGATCATATGGTAATTCTATTTGTAATTTTTTGAGGAAATTGCACACTGTTTTCCACAGTGGCTGTACCATTTTACATTCCCACCAACAATGCACAAGGGTTTCAAATATTTCACATCCCTATCAACATTTATATATTTTAGGTTTTTTATAGTAGCCATCCTAATGGGTGTAAGGTGGTATCTCATTGTTTTGATTTGCATTTCCCTAACAATTAATGATGTTGAGCATCTTTTCATGTGCTCATTGTCCATTTGTAACTTTTTTGGAATTACACATATGCCATTATAACCCCCCAAATAATCAGCTCTTTCATGGATACTACTGGTAGCTTATATAGACTGGTATTGTGTCCCCTCAAAATTCTTTTTTTTTTTTTTTAAAGATTTTATTTATTTATTTCACAGAGAGAGACACAGAGCGAGAGCAGGAACACAAGCAGGGGGGTGGGAGAGGGAGAAGCAGGCTTCCCGCGGAGCAGGGAACCTGATGCGGGGCTCGATCCCAGGACCCTGGGACCATGACCCGAGCGGAAGGCAGACGCCCAACGACTGAGCCATCCAGGCGCCCCTCCCCTCAAAATTCTTATGTTGAAACCTAATCCCCAGTGTGATGGTATTTGGAGGTAGGGCTTTGGGGAGGTGATTGTCATGAGGGTGCAGTCCTCATGAATGGCTTTAGTGCTTTGTAAAAGAGGCTACAGAGAACTCCCTCACCCCTTCCACCATGTGAGTTACAGTAAAAAGACTGCTGTTTGTGAATCCAGAAGCTTGCCCTCACCCAGACACCAAATCAGCTGGCACCTTTATCTCCAACTTCTCAGGCTCCAGAACTAAGAAATAAATTTCTGTTGTTTACAAGCGACTCAGTTCATGGTATTTTGTTACAGTATCCCAAATGGACTAAGACAGTTATCCATGCCCTTTGCTCTCTTCTGACATTTTCTTTTTTAGTTTAGAGGCCCATCCTCTGAAATGGGAAGCTAAACCTTATTCATAGTTATAATAGGTTCTAATAGATCTAAACCAATAATGATAGTCTCATTCCTCTTGTCAGTTTACTTAGGAATACAGACTTAATAAGATGACTCAACCATGGTACTATTTTGAGCCAGATAACTCTTTGTTGTGGGGAAGAAGGCTGTTCTGTGTATTGTAGGATATTTAGCAGCATTCCTGGCCTCTACACACTAGATACCAGTAGACCCATTCCCATAGTTGTGACAATCAAAACTGTCTTCACAC